TGTATGAATGCACATCTGTAGTTATTAGAAACTTTTAAGACTTCTCCTGAAAAACTTTTAAGCGCCTGCTTACTTTGTGGTTACCACCATTGAAAATGGGGAGGAACTTTGTATTTGGTTGTGTTTTACTTCTTTTCTTTTGTTTCCACGCTAATCAGCTACCACAACTAATCCTCGGAGAGAGTTGAGTGGTATATCTTATTAAAATAATTTCAGTCGTGATTTGAAAGACACAACTTGATTTGAAGGCTCACAAAACTTGATTTTCGACAAAATTAGTTTTGGAGTTTTTTAACGCCATTTAGGGATCAAAAATTTCTGAAAAAAAAACTGAAAAAAAATTTGAATTTTTAAAATATTTTTTATGATTTGTTTTTATTTTTCTAGTCATTCTTCTTCAAAAACTGTTGTCCAGTTTGTCTATTTTACTATGGTTGTCGAATATTGCTAAGTTGTAAATTTTTGTTCAGATCCTTTTATCACACCACGCAGAAAAACGACAAAAATTTTTAAAAAAATGGCGTGTTTTTTACAGACTTTAGTTTGAACATTCTGAGCTACTTAAATAGCAACGGGCTATCCTTCATGTTCAGACCATTGAAAATGCGGAGGAACTTATTATTCGGGTGTATGTGTTTTCTTTTTTCTTTTTGTTCGCCACGCTAAATCAGCTACCACAAACAATCATCGGACTGGAAAGATTGATACATCATACAAAAGCCCTTTCAGTTGTAATTTGAACATTTAAAAAATTTCAAAGAAATTTCCCCAGTGTCGAGAAAAAGCGGTTTGAAATTTTTGATTTTTCGTCTAACTTCGAGCGAGTGAGCAGGCTTACATTAGTTTATTTATGCTTAATTTAAGCCTTGAAAATTTAGTTTTACTCAATAGAAGTTAGTTTTTGGAGTTTTTAGTTTCATCTCAGGAATCAAAAACTTCTAAAATTTGAGAAAAAAGTACTGAAAAATTAAACAAAAAAAAAATTTTAATTTCTTGTTATTTGTCTTCAAAAATTGTTTTCCAATTAGCATATTTTACCATGACTGACGAAAATGCCTAAGCTCTACTTTTTCGCTCAGATTCCTTTATCACACCACTCCGAAAAAACGACACTAATTTGATTTTTTTAAAGACTGATCGGAACATTCTGTGCTTCTTGCACAGTAATCGGCTATCCTTGTTTGTTTTTGTATTTTTTCTATAATTTCTTTCAAATTAAATAAAAGTACTTCATCAATTCAGAGAAAGTCCCAATAACTTCCTAACTATTGAAATAGAAATCACACACCAAATTTCGAGTGAGTAACGGTTGTTTGCTAAACTATTTCAAAATTGATTAGAACGCTTCAAAAAATTTTAACGAAATTTCAATATAATGGGACAGAAGTTGAGAAATTGTAAAATTTCGATACACAATGAACAGAAATAAACCCGACTAGGGTTTTTTAAATTGAACCTCCCTGTGGCAAACAGCGACTTGTGGGGCAACTGCATAAATTGTCGAATTCTTACCTTTTCTTACCTTCTTACTTTAGCACCAGCAGAGAAGGTGTCTGAGAGACAATCTAATTAGACCACGCAGTCAGCTGGCCACCCAAATTGAATCAATCGCTCTGATTTATTGATTTATAGACAAAAGAGTTCGCTTGAGAAATAAGAAAAAGTGCTCATTCAAATATTTGATCAAATTTATTTCGAAGAAACTACCGAAATTAAAATAACACAAAAAGTTATTCTCACCAAGTATTGGCCAAGTTTTTTTTGCAAACGAGTGTTTTTAACATCAAAAGGAAGGAAAGTACAAAATTGCGTCGATTGTTTTAGAACTTTTCTTTGAACACTCATACTATTTTATTTGAATCAACCAAGTGTATCGATGCAAAAAAGAAGACGCACTTCATTGGACTATACACGATTTATTTCCCATTTCTTTAAAAAATATATATAGTTTATATTTAGCAATACAGCCCTTTTTAGCAAACAAAAAACAGAAGGCAATTGAACCAGTCTATTCACAAAACTAGTAATTTTTCTCAACAAAAAAGTCGAAGATAAACTTCCTTGAATCCAAAGATATTCAATTTACTTTATTGCATGATAACTTTCTAATCTATTTTACTCTGAATGAGCGTGTACGTTTGAGCGGTAAACTTCAAGACTAGCAAACAGAGAAACACTCAAAAATTTGAAGAGAAAGAAAGTCCAATCCTCGCAATTGGACAAAATATTATTGAAAAAACTTGAAACTTGAAATTGTTCGCGATGACAATTTCTATAGCAAAATTTTAAAAACTCATTAAAGATTGAAGAAACTAACTACGGGTGGTTTTGAGGTATGGGTGGTATTTTTGGTAGAAAAATAAGAAATGAAAACAAGGCAAGGTAAAGAAGAGAGAGCTCAATGGTGCGCAGGGAAGCAGGATTAGGCAGTCGATTAGAAACCCGTGGTGCGAGAATTTAATATGGCTTCCTTTAATCTTGCGTGGGCAGAGGGCACAAATTAGCGAGATCGGGCTGGGTTCAAACTGTCTGTTATAAGGCTGATGTCGCTATAAATCCCCTTCTTTTTCCCCATCTGTATCTTTGGGCAGATATTTCAGTATACCACTCGATTGGCCCATAGCTATTTCGAATCTTTCCCATAACAGCCCCCTAACCCGAGAATTAAAAAAAATTATAGATCTTAATAAAAATCAACTGGATTTTGGGGCTTATGAGTTTTTTGTTCGATTTCTGGGACGTTATTATGGGGTAAAAACTTCAAACTACTTATGTTTATTTCGATAAAAAAAATGCTTCGCGAGTGGTAGGCTAGATAGCATGCCCATCAAATGGGCGCAACAACTACTTGTTTTATAAGTATATCTTAAAGACGAATAAATTTCTGAACCTGCCTCAAAATGCGCACAAAATCGACGCTCTTAGAGCATAACTATTTCAGGATGAGGCTAAAGTAATTTTCATTTTCTGACGGAACTCCTGGGGTTAAAACGGTTTCTCCTTAGCTAACTTCAGGAGGAGATATAATAGTGATTAATCCTTTTGACAGTGATAAGAAACAGAAACTGGAAGTGGTGGCGCAAAAAAAATCGGAGTATTTTCATCAGACAAATTTCGATGTTTTAGAACTAACAATTTTTGACGGACATTTTTTATACAGTCTGAAATATACTGCTCCATGAGCTCAAAACTAAAAAAGATAATCATCTGCAACTATTTTTATGAAGATATGGGAGTTTGAAAATTGCTCAATTGGAATAAGTAATTCGACTAGAAATTCCAATTTTATATTACCGCGTAAAATAGGCAAGTGAATTATTCCATCTTCATTCCAAATTAATCCGAAAATAATCCAAATTGAATTGAGACAAGCTTATGGATCCAAACATTAGGTTAAGAGACACATAGTTTACACAGAGGCGGAGCGCAAAAAACAATTCTGAAAAATGACGTTGAAAAAATACTTGCAAAAATTTCTGAAAAATTAAGTTAAAAAATTACTTGGAAAAAATAAATTGAAAAGTTGAAAAAGATACAGCTACAAAAAAATTAAGGTTGCTTAGAACGAAGTTGATAAATAGTCTTAAAAGAATTGAAAATCAATTACCGAGCGGCAATAAACTTTGGGTCGAACCCTAATTGAGCCGAAAACAAAACTGTGTTGTCATAGAAAATTTCATAAAATTTTTAAAAATTTTCGACCCGTCCAATCTGAAACACATAATCGCATGCGAATATATTTGCCCTCAAAAAAAGCCAAATAAGTTGACTGAGCCGATACAATACAAACTGAAACTTTTTAAATATTAAAAAATAAAACGAAACAACAAATGAAAAAACTTATAATAACCCAAAATCAGAAACTGACTGAAAACTGTTTAAATTGGAACAAAACACATGCGCTAGAAATTAAGCCAAAACTAAATCCTATCAAATAAAAAATGGCTTTGCAAAAAAAACGGAAAATGAACCGACATAATCTAGGACGAAAACCACGAACCCAAAAAAATTGGAACCACCTAAAAAGGGCTTTACCTAATTACTATTTAAATTAAGTAGTTTTATTTGAATTTTCAAGAAATTGAGCACGCAAGAAGATTAAGGAGTCCAGGAGATGAAATGAGTCGTGAACAAAGTCTTGCCTTGCTTATCGCAAGGGTAATCAGTTTGAATTTGAAATAGCGTATGGGATGATTTTTTCAAATTGAAAAATTCCCTTACAAGGCACATGAAAGAGAAGCAGAAAAAATCAAGGTTTACCCTGAAACGAAAAGTTTTTTTTGTAATTGCTTGAACTATTATTTTATTTGCATGGTATATTTAAACTAACGCGCTTTTTGCCCACAAGCTTCCATTTCAGATGACCACTCAACGACCAGATAAACATACTCAGATTTCTGCTGAATTTTAGAACCAGACTAGTTTTTAGAATCGTTTAAGCAGCGAAAGTCTAATTGCGTATTGCATGGTGCTATGTTTTTTTAAAAAGAGAAATGCAAACGAATGTGCAAAGCATTATAGCAAACCGAAAAAGCTGTTCTTTGCAAACAGCCCTGAAATGGGATCTATTTAATAATTCATCCTATGGTAGCTACTCAAAAAATCACCCCTTCTAAATAAAAGTTTTAAATGTCTTCTAAATAAGGCAGTATTTCTTCCTTCATGTCTATTTTTTAATATTTCAAATTTTATCGCATTCTGGTCGGTTAAAACACCTACCAATATAACTGAAAGCTAGAAAATCTTCTTCCCTTTTTTTTAAGCAGCCCAGAAAAAAAACTCACATAATGCATGTCATTATTAAGCAGGAGCACTACAGTCTTGTCAGCAAAGAGATGAGAAGCAACCCTCAGGGCCATCCTAGAGAAGGGGTGTCATACCCATTTAACCGCTCCTACCTTGAAGGGATGATAATTGATAACATCATTAACACTCCGACTGGGACCAAAGTTGGATTCGAACCCACGATTCGCGTGCTAAAAGCCGTGCATGCAACTTACTCACTCGGAGCTCGTACGTTGTCCCATTTTCTCGTGCGTCAATAGTCTTTCCTTTGAGTGGGAATCCAATCAAACTGTCACTGGACGTCCACTTTCTCTCACCGTAACTTGCCACTATTCTTAGAACAATTGAAAATATTCATTTATAAATTTGTATTTTCACATTTAATACACCAGAGCGTTCAACTATGATTCATTTAGCTCTTTTTTACTTACTTTTCCTCATCCAGGAAAATTCCCAAGAGTATATTAATAAAAGCGGTCAGAATAAAATTATAGGAGAGGGCAAAATGACATACCGGCTTCCATGCATAGGAGCCTTTCAAGGCAACCTACTACCGCCGCACGCAAACATATTAACTCAAAAACCACTTTTTCCAAATGCACGTTTTTTGAAACAGTTTTTCATTAATTCATTTATATTATTTTTGATATCATTGTTTGATGATCTCAATGTCATATAAAAAAGGTTTTTCTTAAAGCTAAAATTTCAAAAATGGTTTTAGTTTATTCATGAAGTCTTCTGTCTACTATCACAATTTCATATTTTCCATCGCAAACAAAAAATGTAACAAGTCAAAAAAAACTTACTTACCTGTAATTCAAAGAAGGTAAAACGTTTAAATGAAGATACTCAGACTAATTTACCTGAAGGCAAGATCCAAGATAAGACAGATTAGGAACAGTTGAAATTGAACTTGAGGGCTGAATTGTCACACTAATCGCTAACTGAAAGACTTTGCTCTTCTGCTGTATTTGACAGCTATTCCCAATTACTTAGAAGATAAGCGCCACTTCCATATGTGGTAATTTTTTCCCTCAAAAATCGATTGACGAACAAATAATCCTATCGCTCCTTGAGCCAACTGAGTCTTAGCTAACTCGCTGTTATTTAGAACAAATATTTAAAGAGGAAATTTAGCCACACGCATCAGAAAAAGATAATTTTTAGCATTTATAAATATTTCTTTCGGCAAAAAAGCGTTTTTGGGACCCAGCCGACCTTTAAAATATTAAATATCTTTTACAAAAAATCACGAATACACGAAAAGCGGCATATTATGCTGGCTGAAAAAAGTAGTTGTTAATGCTTCTCACTAAATCAGTATTTCAAATGAAGCACTTTACGGAGAGTAGGTGACCAATTGTCAAATGGATAGTTGCTTGCTGCGCATCTCCCTAAAAATGATGTTAAGTGACCGGAAAACAAAAGAAACAAGAAAAAAAGTCTAAATAAGCAACAAAATTATCCAGTTGCTGTGAAAGCACTAGAGAATTTTCCAAATGGAGTTTTTTTGTCGCGCGCTCCCCTTTAAATTTACTCTCCATTGGCGTCAAAAGCGCTTCAAAAATGCCAAAAATGCATCCCTCTATCCGTTCCTGCCTTCCTGTCATCGTCATGTATTCCCTCTTGTTGCAGCGCCGAATTTTTCAGACAAGTAATGATTTTTTCAGACTGAGATAGAATTACGATTATAGACTATAATAGATTTTCTATAATCAAAGCTACAAATCAGGACACTATTAATAGTATGTCTATAACAAAATGCTATCGCGCAATTATAAAATTCAAGATACCGATTAAATAAATAAAACACATTGTTGATACTTGATATACGCTTGAATTGGACATTCCTTTCCAATTACTTCTCTGAAAACCCTTAAAACACTATTTTAGAGAAAAATAGGGAAAAATCGACTGTTCTTCAAACCCTTTTACCAGAACAATTTACCATTTTGTCGCTTTTGAAAAGATTTCATCTGAAAAATTTAAACAAATTTTTGGCCACTTAAACTTTAATGAACCCTCACTCTTGGAGAAAACTAGAACGCGTTCAACTGTAGAAAACTCAATTATCGATTGTATAATCAGCTATTCGGTGGCCCACTTCAATTAAATCCTCATTTTCTAAATGTTACAACAATTAACACACGCAGTCCATTAAATTGCAAAACGGTAGGGGATTCCTCGTGACAGAAGGGGTCATTTACATAAGGTTATCAGAAATAAGTATCGCTAATCTGACAGAAAGCGTAGAAAAAAGTTTTCACTTATCTGAAAGAACTCGGAAAAAAATCATTCTATTGGTTGAGAATTTCAGCCGTTTTCAGAGCGAATGTCACAGTATTAGCATCCAACCCCTCGTAATTTGGAAGCTTAAATATATATTCATACCAATGATTAGGGTTTCAGTCATCCTTCTTTATACTTGAGCCTTCAAACCAATCTCAAAAAGCTATTTCAAACAGTTGAACTGAATTCAGCGGTCGAAAAGGTGAAATAGGTCGAACGGAAATGGGCAAGGCGAGCACACTATTGCTGAAACAAAAGAAATGGCTACTAAAAAGCCCCGTTGAAACCATTCATCGTAATTAGAAACCACCCCCAGACACTAAAAAACAGGTTCCATTCTATAAATGCCCACAGGGAAAGTCATCTAATAATTCAAAGAAGGTCTGCCATAAAGAAGTACAAAAAATTGGTTTTCCAATGACAAAACAAATATCGAAACTGCTTCAAAAATGTCTTCTTTGAGGAGCTTAAAAAACCATATGTGATCATTACTGTTTCAACCACCTCCCTAGGGGGATAGGAAATATGGCGTAGAAAAAGTTTTTTTTCCGGCCGGTTTTCACTACCTCAAGAAAGCTCGAAGGAGATCAGGTGTGGTATCATATAAAAGCCTTATTGGTCGTAGTCTAGATTCTAAAGCAAAAATGAAAACAATGTCGGTGCTGCGAAAAATTGATAGCTACTTTTCTGATTTTCAAATCAAAATTCGCAATTTTTGATTCCACTGATGACACTTTAATTTATTTCATGACACTTCATTTAGTTCTGCAGCTATTTTAACGTTATTTTAACAATAATAAGTTTCTTTTTTTTCTGGATATTGTTGACGAAATGGAAATTTAGAAAAAAAAGAACAAAAGTGCTACTTGCAAAGCAACCGGGTATTCTTGCTTTCAATAAGGATCTGACTAATCGCATAATAGCAAATATGAATAATAAAAGTCTACTTCCGACTTGAATTTCCCTCGCGTGAAACCCAAGGGGGTTGGATTTGATGAAGCAAGAGAAAACTGATTTTTTGACATTTTCAGTTTTTTTATTAAATGAATGTCAATCTTGCGTTCAGATTAATTGTCATCTATTCACGCTTTTGACAGCCTTCAATTACATTTTTCGTCCTCAAATAGTCAAATGGTTTAATTTACTCAAAAGGAGACATCGGGCGGCTAACATTCTCACAAAATCAGAAGAACAAAGCGAAGAAAAACAAACACTGTGTAGCAAATAAGACGACAGCTGTTAAGACGACAAACGCTCTTGGTCGGACTTTAAGACGACGCTACACGAATAGGTCCGAACAGGTCCTTTTACATGTTCTAACTCTCATTTGTCGTGTTAATGTCATTTCGTCTTAATGTCTTGTCGATTTTTTTCCTAGCACCAACAAACGCAACGCGTTTTTCAAAACTCGTGATCTCAATTTGATGCTTTCTACTAAAAAACAACGCCTTGAGTTCACTTTTGGCGGATAGCATAGCAGGTTGACTAAGGACTGACACAAGCTTGAACATTTTGAAAATTTTTGATTGACTTCGTTTAAAAGAAAAGCTTTCCTTACATGGATTACACCACATACTGAACTTTGAACTTTGAGTATCGGAGGGCGTACAGCTAAACTCTCTTGAATTCGACATTATACTATCGTAATAATCAAACCGTTTGTTGATATTTTAAATAGAAAAGTTTGACAAAATCATACAATCAACATCGAGACTAGTTGGTTCGCATTACGAGGCCAAACTGTGTATTGTAAGCGGATTCCGCAACAGGCCCAAATCAGATTTGTCGCGGAATCAACATTGCTATAGCTCTTTGATCTTCTTTGCTGTTTTGGATTCCACAAACAAATAACTAAAACACCTTACCGTTCAAAATCGCTCCAAAAATAGGTGAATTTGCTGAATCCGCAACCGTATTGATATGGAATCCACAAACAAATAATGAGACATGTGTACAGCTGAATTGAGCTGTTGTGGAACACGCAACTGTAAGAGGAATCCGCAAACTGTAAGGGAATCCGCAAATTATAAGTGGAATCCGCAAACTGTAAGTGGAGCCCGCATTTTGTTTGCGGATTCCGTCTACATATATCTATGTGTAGTAGCATTTAATATTATATCTTTTAAATACCATGTTGATCAGCTACCAGTTGGAATGCCAAACATTTGATCTCAATTCCTGTCAAACACCCAATTTGATCTCGAATCCTGTCGAAATACCCAACTTCGATCTCATATCCTGATAAATATACCCAGCTTCAATCTCACTTCCTACAAAGGTTAACTTCGATCTCAATTCCTGTCATCGATTTCATCTCAATCCCTGTCAAACATACGAAAATTCAATCGCACTTCCTACAAAGTTTAACTTCAATCTCAGTTCCTGTCACTGTCATCAATCTCAATTTCTGTTAACTTATTCATCAGTTCATTTCAAGCCATTCAATTAAAATAAAAAAGTTTTAATTTAGCCATTTTGAAATATTTTCAAAATGCGAAACCAGAACTCAGCTTGATTAGACAACATTTTCAGAACAATATTTTTGTGTTTTTGAACTTAGAATTTAATTCTGCTGTAATTCAAGTTTTGGTAATTTTTATCTAACACTAATTTACTCAAAATTAGTTAAATAGATCATTTACTCCCTGTGAACAAAAAGATTTAAAATCAGGCTCGAAAAAACTGAATCTCAAATACAAAATCCCAAATACTGAATCTGAATTACTGAATCTAAAAAAAAATGACCTAATTCGGCGTTATGTCAACCCAACAATGAATTAACCCAATTACCGAATTAACCCAATGAACTTATTCGGTGTTGTCTTTTCAAAATTATGATCCCAAAAACTGCTCGCAAATATTAAAGTGTGACATCCATCGATTTAGTTCACCAATGTTTTAAAATTTGTTCGTGGATTCCGCTGACAATGGTTAAACTCTTGCTTCTAATTTCCGCAAGTGCCTATGCAAGTAAACAAAATTCTGAATTCCTTTACAGTTTGCGGATTCCGCTTACAAATTTTGCGGATTCCACTTACATTTCCGAATCTACTTGCAGTTGCGGAATCCAGAACAACCAGCTATAATTGCTTGTTGCGGAATCCGCAACAAAACAAATGTGCCGACAAAATTTACGTTACAGGTATTCGTACGCAGAATCCACTGAAATTTTGTTAGTGGAATCCACGTACACTTTGGAACATATTTAAAGACTTGTCTCTGGATTCCAGGGACATACATACACAAAATTGTGCGCCTATCCAGTGCACAGTTTGACCTCGTAATGCGATTTGCAATAATTTATATTAATATTAGAATGTTTTGACATCATGACATCAACGGGGCCCAGCACGATTCTAACTTGCATCGAAGATCTTATTGTGACTTTTATATAAAGGTAGTCTAAACTAAGGCTACACTGCATGGTGACAGTCAAAGCTGGGGATGTCACGATTTCATTCAACAATTTCAATTGTTGCTGGGCGAGTTTCTATTCGATCGATGGCAGAATCACTCGTGGGGAAGAATTTGACATGCCCTGAAAATACCGAGAAAAAAATTGGATTTATTCATAAGTTGCTCGAGCGATTACCAACTGGATCACCAATTAGCCAGCTATCGCTGGAAAGGTGAATCATTTTACTGCGAGATATCATTAGAGATCTTAGTGGAAAAAAATTGTTAATCTGATCCGATTTTGATGGTGTTTACGAATTTTGTCAGATATGCTCATTCACTTTCTAAAAAAAGCGATATTGGTCCTCGTCAGTTGTTAGCAGACAAAAATGGCAATCAGAAGATCTGAACATTGGAAACCCTCAAAATAGACATCGACGT